CTTGAAAATTCAAAGTTAAGGACTTGGACTTGACTTGGACTTCCAGATCATTGACTTTGGACTTGGTTTTCTTTGACTTGGACTTGACTGGAAAGACTTGTGACTTACTTGTGACTTGCAAAGCAATGACTTGGTCGCACCTCTGGAAAATGATTTCAAAAATGTTATTTCGGCGCTGATTTTGATACCTGCAGCTCTTTTCAAAAGGACTACAAAAGTGGCAAAGAAATAAAACGTTTATGTAAGCAAGTGGAGCTATTAGCAGGTAAATAGGTTCATTGCAAAATGTTTAGCGACCTTAATAAAACACCATTAGCTAATGAACTTCCAAACATCTTAGAAACAGGTCTTGGAAGGTTTCCATGCTTGTTTTGTTTCGTCACTGTGAAACCAAATGCCACTAAAAAGTGCTGCAAACTGGCCAAAGTGTACATCAAGAAAATAATACAAAAACAGCCTTAATTTTTTATGTAGCAGCATCTGATGCAGTGCACCGAGTGCTGAAGCTCTGTAGCATTGATTATTAATGAAGGAATAATGCCCCGCGTATAGAAATGACCGGAGAAGCCCTGTCGAGACCCTTTTCTTTAAAAGACAAGCAAAAGCTGGGGTGGGGGGTGGGGGGGTGGGGGGTGGGGGAGGAAGGATGAATTATTCTCTGCTTAGCTCAGGACTGAGCTCAAGTGTGACACAGATTTCACACAGTCATTTAAAAGTGACCACAGTCAGCAGTTGTGTTTTGATGTGCAATTGTCTGTGCAACCGTCCACGTCAAAACACACACAAGCAAAGAGCCTTATATGTGTTCCTGGTTTTCCCACAGAGATCAGAGTGTTTTAGACATTTTACCATTCATTGTTAATGGGTCGGGTCCCTCTCAGGGGTCCTGAAATATTTATCAAACAGAATGTTGTGTCACAACCGTCAATAAGAGAAAAAAAATCAACCAACTGATAAAGAAAGTGTTTTCATCAAAATGCTGCTGCATTATCTGAAACGCAGGGGATGAATGTTGATTTGGGTTTAAAAATCAACAGAAAATGAAGGCCTTTAGCCTTGTTTTGTGTGAGAAATCCCCACCCTCCTCACAAACACAAACAGCATTTTAACATTTCATTTGGCTACTGCTCACACCGCGTCCAGGGCAGGCGTCTTTAATTCTGTTCAAATTATTTGTAGCTCTGCCAGAGTATTAAAAAAATAAAAGATGCATTCAGGGATGCTTCTACTCTTGCCCATTGGCTAAAGCTAAATTGGAGGAGCTGCCCTTTGGCTGTTCAGCTCCAGAACTGCCGTGTAAACACAAGCCACCGTGCCCCACCCCAGAAATCTAAATTCTTGCATCTCTTGTTTCCAGTAAGTGCATTTTCCAAAAGAAATGAGGCAGAAACCCTGAACTGTTTGGGATTTCATCCAAGAACTTCTTGGCTAATTACAGTGTGGTTAAATTAATAATGAAAGCATCAAGAAACTGCAATATTTTGGAATAACGTACAGAGAAAGCATGATCTCTGCTGATACAGACACTGGTTCAAAGCATAATATAAAGCTTCACCATGCTCTAAAGTGGTGGCCGTAAATGTGTAAACACTCCCCTGTGGTTGTAATGTAGCCATTAGCTGTAGCATTACAACAAAATTCATCTTGAAGTAAAACAATAAATCCAACAATGAGAAACAGAAACAACTAAGCAAATCAAAACCAATACTAGAAAGGCCGTATGAGATGGGAGTTTAAAGCCAATTAGCCAAATGTCCAATCAGTCAGTCAGCATGCTCTTGGTTGTCGTGGTAACCACCTTTTATTGCATGCAACGGGGATGCATCTCAAATAAAGTTGACTGATTGGAGCTGCTTTACCTCCACCTGAGACTCGTTTGAGGTCATGTGTGTGCACAGAGGTTAACAATAAGAACAAACATCAAACAGGTGAACTTTATACTTGGTTTGTGAAAAGGTTTGAGTTGGTTTGCTAATTTATGACAAACAAACTACACCTGGATCTGATCTGATCTGAGAAGATGCTTTTGAGTTGCATTGTAATGTAGATTTCCACACAACTCTTGGACTAAATCTCCCTCTTCCTGTGTTGGCTGCAGGTGTTCTTTGTAAATAAAAGTTTCACAAATTTTTGGAAGCCCAGCACTAAACTGCTGAGATACCAATACTTTCCCTAATGCCAACGTGCAACTCTGCCTCGCTAAGTCACCCAAACAAAAGAAACCAGCAGGGTCAAACCTAATTAGGCTCTAAAACAAGGTAGACTCGGCGGGGTAAAAAACACAGCGGGGTGCCAAGGTGATTTTGAGGCAGTTTTTCACTGTTAGACAGGTCACGTTAAACTGCTGTAACTTCATCAGCCTTCATTTTCACCACGCAGTCCGAGAGTGACTAGGAGGAAAAGCAATTAACTTTTGTAAAATCGGTATAAATAACATGACGACTGTAGAGAAAATAAGAAAGAAGGTGCCAGGAGCTTAATTTAATTCATTTCAATTTGTCACTATTTCGCAGGTACATGGAGAAATTAAGATAGACTGAAGTCAAGCTGATTTATACAAACGTCAGTCAGTCTCAAAGGGGACATGGCTGAGTGTAAACACAGGAAAAACAAGAATGGTGCTCTGAATTATGAGACTGCAGTCAGAACAAAGATAGTCTTTATGATATATATGTTTTTAATTGAAATAAAAAAGAAACCTAAGTCAAGAGGAGAGGTGGCCTGACAAGCCATCCTGTATATACATGATGACCACAACCAGGGGGGCAGATAGGATTTTCAAACTGGGGGGGACAAAGTTCCAATGTACCCTCCCCCAAACACATACACACACACACACACACACACACACACACACACACACACACACACACACACACACACACACACACACTATTGCAAGCGCCTTAACTAGAGCTCAGTCAGTTTGTGTAATTTCATCCAATGGTTTACGTTAAAACTAACACTTTTATATACGTGTTTGAAGCCATTATGCAGTGGAACACTGGCAACAAAGCTCTGCCTGATCAACACTATAAATGATAAATGATTTTTACCATCATTTCTACATCCATCACGTCCCAGAGGAGGTTAAACAAACATCAAACCCAACGTTTGGAGCTTGTAAACTCCACACACCTCGCATGCAGCACCAGCTGTCTGATGCTGCAGCAGCGTCAATCTTCCCAGCTGGATGAGTGAATTTCTTCATCAGAGTCAATATTCTTCTTCATAATCAGAGTCAGTCATTACCAGACAAAGTGATCAGTCAACAAAGACCAGACCTGCTGGCAATTATATGTTTTATCTGATATTTATGCTCTTCATGTTGCGCACATCTCCTACTCTCCCCGACTGGGAGCTTCTCAGCGGGAGGTGTTTTTCAAACTCTAAAAACTCCCAAACTTTGCTCAGCCTGAAGGTTCCACATCTCCACTATCTTCTGGTGTAAAGTAGTAACTTCATGAGGGATCATATTTGTAGACGAGACTTGTTAAAGTCAGCAGTGAGGCTTTGGTGCTTTTAACGAGTAAGTCCCAACACTGACAACAATGTACTGAATCTATAACCAACACGCATAAACAAACAGATCGGACCCGCCTACTTTCACTGTTGGTCTTTTTTAAATACGCAGAAATCGTTGCTTGCCTTTGTCGCTTCATCCTGAACCTAGCAGCAACCACTTTGGCGCCCCTGGAGTCGGTGTTTGTTTGCATCATGCCGCATTCAGTGTAATTGGAAAAAGGAGCTTCAAGCGCTTAACCTCCGATTTTGTTTTCTTTCTGGCCTTAGTTTGGGGGACGGATCGGGGTCAATCTGAGTCTGGGGGGGACAGATCCCCCCATCCCCCACCCTATCTGCGTGCCTGACCACAACCCATAGACAAAGTTTGGTCATGGGGCGGAATCTATAGTTGGCTTTCAAACTGTTTTTGCGTTCAGCTGGACAGCGCTAGAACCAATCGGATCAATGAACAACGTGAAGGGCAGTCTGCTATACCATGAAAGAATAAGCAAATACATCCTTTTTTCTAAATAAAGGACTTAAGTGCCTCTATCTGCTTATGTCTCAATGAAAAGCCCAAGTCTAAATCGTCCAAAGTTGATGCCAAAGCCGTTACAAACGCCATCTTTGTAGTTGCAGCTCTGGCGCTAAATCCTTCCAACCTCTCTGATGGAGTCACCATGGTGAGTGTGACTCACTCGTTTTGTCAACTCCATCTACTGGTAACTTGTGTATTGCAGCTTTCAGACGTGTTGCGTTAATTGCGGGGGACACGCACAAACGACTCTTCAAATGAATGTAAGGTATGTGTGGCAGCCATTGCGTACGAGTCGCTAAAACACACACACACACCTACTTCCAGACCGTGGCTCCCTGGAAATAAGAGAAATGAATGCTAGTCAACGGAGCAAAAAACGCTATTTTCTAATCCTGTTTGTTGTGTGTCATGGATTTCACATGTGATGTACGTGAAGACATATTCTGATGCCAAGAAAGCGGACATTTTCAAACTGTTGTAAAAGTTTTTGTGTGAAAATATGTATAAGACTCTAAATGTGTATAACCATACTGATGACAACCAGACACGGCAAAGAAAATGGCTGTACGTTTAGCGAGCTTCGAATCCTTCTTCCTGGACGACAGACTGCTGAGACTACAATGGAGCGTGGCCAGACCGACCTGCAGAGAAACCCCTTTTGTTGCTGCGACGGTTGTCTAGCGTTCTAGGCTAGAGAAGAGGTGGATGGTTTATTTAAAAAAAGGATGAATAAAAAATATGAAACGGGTTCTTTTTGTAGTAAAAGCCTCACTTAATCCTAAAAACTTTTTATAACACACCGATACCTTTCATTATTTCTGCATGACATTAAAATAGGCCTGCCACAGAGCCCAGGGTTTATTCCAAGCCTCTAGAGGATTCAAGATACAGAATCCAGATGACAGATTCCTCTACAACATGCATCAGAAATGAGCCTGAGAGTGTTTGTGCGACCCACCTAGAACGGTGACAGTAGCTCGGGCCGTGCGGACGGGCATGGTGAAGATGGAGCAGGTGTATTCGCCCTCATCAGACAGCAGCACATCAGCAATGGTGATGGAAAGCTCCGTGGGCGTCGAGCGGTGCAGCTGGATGCGGTTGTCTCTCAGCGCTGAGGAGGAAAAAGGAATGGGATATCAATAATTAGAAATGTGCTTTATGAATTGTTTAAGGACATTTAAGTGCTGTTATGTAAGAGTTTCTCTATATTCATGATTATTGCTTGTTGGGCTCTTCCTCTTTTTATTTAATTAGTATATTTCAATTAAACTTTTCAAAATAGAAAAGAAGAAGCAGCAGGAAGTAAATCTAGTAGATCATCTTAACAAACAATAGGGTTTTCTGACCAGACTCCCAGATGAGAGACAGTTCCACACCTTTGGACTTAAGTCAGCAAACATACATTACTCTCTTGCTCGTGAGCAACACCTAACGTATCCCACTTAGAAGATGTGAGGAACATGGCAGAAAAATGTGGCCTTCAAATGAGCTTGGATTTAAGCTGAAGCCTAAAAATCATTTCAAGCAACTGCCGTGGTATGAGAGGTGAATTCATACAAGAGCAGTGTCGGGCTGCGACTAGCATTTTTTTGCTGCAGAGTTTTAGGACCTAATGTTGCAAAGTTCTGACATAAGTAGGAAGAATCAGCATTACAGCAGATGAAGCATGAAGACCACTGACAGCATGAATTATCTTCTCTAAATAATGCAGTCTTTTTGCTGTTTAGACTAAAACAAGTGAATGTTCTTTTTTATTTATTGGTGTTAAAACAAAAAAGACGTCAAGAAAAAAAAATCAAAAATGAAAAGAAGAATTTAGTTTGGTGTCTCCTTGAAGCGATAGTTGGTGAATATATAGAAACACTAAATTGCACTAAAATCTTCCAAATGGAAGTAGCTTAAAGCAGCACTAAAACACACACACACACACACACACACACAAATCCCATCCACCAGTCTCCCTAGGGTGAAACCATGTAGTATAAATACATGGACAGCGGGAGGGTTATGGGCAGACTGATGGTGACCTGGCTTTGTTGCTACTGGATTGTAACTAACTTTTGTCCAACAGTGTAGCTTTAGCTCAGTCAGTGTCGGTGCTAGCTACAGCAGGCAGTGGTGGGGTTGTTTACAACTGCTGTAAATCCGCTTTCAGCCAATAAGCAGTAGCAGGAAACTGGTTAAGCATAATGTATACATCTCCATCAGCGTGAGTATGGAGTCCCGCACACGCACTGGCGGAGATGTTTTCCTTTCAGACTTCTCTGTCACCTGGAAAGTGTTGCAAAGCGAGCTTAGTGCTTTTATGAGGTATCCTGCCATCATTGCAGTCACGTATCCAGTCCATGATAGTGTCTTTACTATTGTGTTTACGTTGTTTTAATTTAGTTCAGAGACTTTTTAACACGGACGAGTTAGTCCCTTATCTCCTCCACCTCTCCGTGTGATCGGCACCTCTAAACCCACGTTTCCTCTCATTTCCGTCCACAAACAAAAAGCTTGCTGCAAATCTTTGTAGTCCTTCAGTCACGGGTGAATAAACCTTAATATCGTCAGACTTTTTCCACGATGTGTTCTTCAATCTGTTCTGTGTCTAAATATATTCTTTTGGTTTGAAGGGGCAATGTCAGTGCTGTTGATGAATTTAAAGGAGGCGACGTCTTGACCAATCAAAATCTTGCATGGTCCATCAAAAGTGACGGAAAGTTAAAAATGTGGGCGTGTCTTCATCACCCTCTGCGAGCCCTTGCACGACACATAATGGCGTTGCGTGTCTCCATGCCAACGTAGACGGAGAACTATAAATTAGGCTTTAAAAGATCTTTATTTGTTTGGGTGGCAGAAACCTGAATGTAGAGCCACTGCTCCTCCTCATCAGGAGTCAGCTGAGGTGGCTTCAGCATCTAGTAAGGATGCCTCATGGTTACCTTCCTCTGTTAGTATTCCAGACAAATCCCACGTGGAGGACACCTCAGGGAAGACCCTGAATTTGCTGTAGATATCATAAATCATCTATGACCAGGGAAATCCTTGATTTCTCCCAGGAAGAGCTGGAGAATATCTTTGGACTCGTTCCCTCCACAACATGACCTTGGATAATCAAATTAATAAAGAAGAGTTTCAGACACTTTTATTTACCTCCATGATTATATTAAGAGAAAAGGAAGTGAAACAAAATTCCAGCTGCACACGGGCTGAACATTTCAAGAAATTTAGAAACTTCCTTCATAAATTCCATTCACAATTTTTCACCGGCAGTCTCTTAGCCCAGCGAGATACTGGAGCCCAACCAGAACCAATACAGCAGTAACAGCTGAGAGGTCCCCTGACTTCACGCATACGTTAAAGGGTTTATTATGATGAAACACTCAACCGGTCTTTTGTAGTGGCTGGTCTACAGGGAGAACATATGAAGAAAACAAAAGAACCAACTACTGGGAAACTCGTGTTTCACATGAGCAAATAAAAGTTGCAGCATAATCAGCTGCAATAAAACAAGCTTAAGTGGAAATACATCCTTATTCCACCCCAAGAATTTCCTCTAAAAGTGAAGAAGAAAAGACAGGAAGTGCAAGGGAAGGCTAACTAAAGGACAAAGCATGAGTCAAGGCAACGGGAGTGGGAAACAGAGAGGGAACATTTTTAAAAATGAGTGAAGGGTGGGGAAAAATAAGATGGGGATAGAAGCATGTAAAAGATGCGAGTAATAAAAAAACAGGAGCTCCCAGAGTGATGAAAAGGAAGAAAGATTGAAGATTGTTGAAAGAAATCAGTGGAGGTAGGAAGGATGATGTGAAACCAGAGGATAAAAAGCAGAAGCAACAAAAAAGGATTGAATGGAGGAGGTACGGCTGGAAAAAAAGAGTTGAGGTCAAACGTGGGGAAAGTGAAAAAATGTATGTAAAAATGCACAAACAGGAAATGAGAGGACAGAAGACGAGAAAGACAGGTTAAAGTTAGAAAGGTGATGCACAGAATTTTAATCTTAAAACAGTAAAAGATGGAAAGAAGCAGGAGGAAGAGCAGGGTCGGGGTGTTTAGAGAAAATATGATGTAAGAGACAAAGAGAGGAGGAGGAGAAGTGATGCATATGAGGTGAGAGCAGTAAAAATAGCAGAGATGTAAGCCTGAACAAGGCAGCGGAAGACAAAAAGACTGTGAAAAAGAGATGCAAATTGAGAATGAGAGATGAGAGAAAGGGCATGAGAGAAAACAGAAATAAAACAGAGGAAGCATAAATAGGAGGGAGGATAAGGGAGAAACCACGAGGGACAGATGGGTGGTGGGAGAAAAGGGGGGAGGGAACGAAAGACATAAATGACTTTGTCATCAATGAGAAATCCAGCCATGAAAGAGAGAAAGAGCACAAGCAACCGAGATAGATGATGATGATGATGATGATGATGAAATGCTACGAAATAAGCGCTCGTTTCCGTGATAGCATTGACCTCTGTTTGTGCTGTGTGATTGCTGCCTGTCTTCCTACCTTACCTGGCTGTCTTCCTACTGAAGATGTCTATCTGTCTAACTTGGTGCCTTAATTAAAGCCTGCCGGCTTTGCCCTTTAGCACCAGTCAGACTCACACAAATAACAACTCAGCATGTGACAAACAAGGAACTGTGGAGATACAGGAAATTTGATTTGAAGCTGGTTTATGTTCCACTGAAGCACATTTGCAGAATCAGTTTGTACATAACAGATAAAGCAGCCAAGACTAAAACATAAACTGGATTTTTCATGGCATAAAATGAAAGATGTGTCCAGCTTTGGGGACTTCCTCGTCCTTCGCTGTGTTAAATTGATTTTTATGCTTGTGGAAGGTTTGCAAAGTTACCATCCAGACTTAGTTACTCTCTTTCACACAAGAACCCGATCCTGGACGTATTACCCATCAGGATGAATATTTGCATCGCCTAAAAACAAATTGGCCAGCCAGTTCGATTGGCCTTTCAGGAAGAGTGCTGTCAGATTGTAAATTGTTGAAAACATATTTATAGCTTTATCAATCAATGCTTGTTCCTTTTTAAAAGAAAAGTGTGCATTTAAAAAGTGAGCATGATAGGAGCTCATTTTTCTTTAAAGGAGTGGATTACTCGTTTAATCAATACATTTGCAGTGGTCTCTAGTAGGAAGGAATGCCTTGTAATATGGGCCATTCCCATCTGTACCGGGCCGGCCCGGGCCGGGTAGCCCCAGTCGGCCCTAGCCTGGCCCGGTTGATTCCACACATCCTTGCCTTAAGCCCATGTGGGCTGATTCTACCCACCAATCAGAGGCTTGCTCTAATGGAAGGTGTGAATTTGCAGTCAGCAGTGGGTGTGTTGGCCCTGGTCGGCCTGAAGCAGACCCCCTCGAGAAGAGGGCTGAGAATGAGCCGTGGTTGGCCCGGAAAAATACCAGGCCACCCAGATATGTAAACAACCTACGCTGCCCGGGCCAACCCGGTACAGATGGGAATGGCCCATAAGTTGTTTGGGCGGGGGGTGGGGGGGTGGGGGGGCGGGGGGGGTGAACAAATACATGACCAAACCCCAACCTGTCCATTGACTTGCAACGTTGATGTTTATGTGTATGTATTTAGCAGACGCTTTTGTCCAAAGTGACTTACAAGTGATAATCGGCATGTTGCCCTTGAGGCTAACAACAACAATGACAACAATTTGACATCAATCATGGACAGGAGGGAACAAGGAGTGGACAGTAGAGAGGGGGGACGGGTGCAGGGAGGGCGCTAGTTAAGAAGATGCTCTCTGAAGAGCAGGGTCTTCAGGAGTTTCTTGAAAATTGAAAAGGAAGCCCCTGTTCTGGTAGTGCTTGGAAGGTCATTCCACATTTGTGGAACGATGCATGAGAAAAGTCTGGATTGTCCTGAGTGTGGTGTAGGCACTGCTAGCCGACGATTCTGTGATGACCGGAGTGGCCGGGCCGAGACGTAAGCCTTTGTAAGAAGATTCAGGTAGATGGGAGCGTACCATCTCGGTCTTTGTATGCTAGTGTTAGCAATTTGAATTTGATGCGTGCTGCTAGTGGTAGCCAGTGGAGCTCAATGAACAGAGGGGTGACGTGTGCATTGCAGTAATCGAGGCGGGAGATGACAGTAGATTGCACCA